CTGAGGGACCCCACTAGATACAGGTCTCAGGGGTAAGTTCACAGAATTTCCAGGGTAAGTTCACAGAAGCTGCTGCTTTTTCTGGTCATACATTTTTCCTTATGCAGTAGTTCAAATTCATCTGGCTTCAGTTTTTAGTTTCCTCACTGATGGGTCAAATACTGTTCCTTCTTACTAAAGTTACCATCTTTTTGAAGAATAAGTTATTTCTACATGTTGGTAGAAACAAAAGAATTTGTTTAAGACAGTCAATGTTTTTTATGGCTATCAGGTTTCCTGGTCTTGCCTCATGCATAACACAGACCATTGAATTTTGTCTGGTAATTCTCACATTAAGCTTAATAATTTGTGGATCGATGTGCAGCTGTCGCGTATAAACACAACCCATCATGGTATAAAGAAGGTTTGTAAGAAAAGAATATAACAAGATCTATCCATTACTGAGAAGGCTTACTGCGCCATGGGAAAATTCTGACATGATTACATACTTAGATTTTACTTGGAGTTACGCTGGGGTTAGCTAAATGTACAGCGAGGGCAAAGCAATGAGATGGGAGGTTTTCTAACATGGAAGAGCATCCCTTTCAATGTTTATTTTTACATGTGTTTATGCAGTCATTGCTGTTGCTGTTGAATTTGTTCTCAGGATCAAGTCTGGCCTTACAGTTTTATGGAGTGTACCAGGAAGTTAGCTCTTCCTTTTAGGATTTTTCTTGTAATTTGTATAACCTTTCTGGAACTTACAAGCTGTAGATACAATAACCAGGTTACCAGGGTATTATGGCAGCAGCCATGTAATCATTTCCTTAGCCAAGCAGCCATTCTATATGCATTTCGACCCAGACTGTTGTTCACTAAATGCTAAAAATGTAAGACAGCAAAAAGCAGAGCTCATCACAGTGGCTTCTTTCTGGCTGAGATAGCCATGGATAGCCATAGTGGAAGACACTTGGCACAGAAAAATCAGACTTTTCTCTTTGATTTGGAATGATAGTTACTTTCTTAACTTCAGAAACTCCTTCATGCCAGCACCTTGATTTTTACAAAATTAAATGCCCCTATGTCAATCATCTATGTGTCTGGAGGGGTATATGAATATGAATTTGTATATGTATACCTAGGCTTTGAGTGAGTAGATACAATAGTAATAGCAACTATATTGCACTAGTATCCAACTGTCCTCCTTAGACAAGGTTCACCTTTGGGCTGCAGTGTACAGAAACACTTATTCCATCTGGGAAGGCAAAACTTGATTTCTATATTCATTAAGAGATCATACAGTTTATTTATACTTAACTATAATATGTCAAAAAGGAGGGAACAGAGAAGTAACCAAAAAAAGTAATCTTACATAGGTATTTGAAACCCTCAACTTCAGAAAGAAGAATCAAGAGAATCAAAGTTTCTTGCCTAAACTTATATTTGCATTGGTCTTAGGCATGCAAGAAGCAGATTAGGGGTTTTTTTTGAAGCTTGGAAGAAATCTGATCTATTCCACCAACTCAATGGCTACAAGTCATTGCAGTAGACATAGATTATAAAACATACTTTTAAAAATTTGCAAGACTGTAATTTATTAGCATGTCTGCTAATAAAAGAACATCACCACTCTTGTCACCACTAGCTTCCTTCAGGAGCAGTAATCATGTTCTGAACAGGGAGAACTGGAGTTCTCAGAGCCAGTTCTCTCTCAAACAGTATGGCTTAACACAGGCCAGATTGAACTGCAGTGGTCCACATTGACTGAAGATCCCTCCATTGATGTTTGCAAAACTTTTATTTGGAGACAGTGCCTATACTTGCTCAGCATCAATGTCTACCTTTATCAGACACTGTGTTCACAAGCATTTCTGATTAGAAAGTAGTTTCAGCACAGTTGCAAGTGAGAAGATTTGCATCACTCCCAGGAGCCCAACCAGAGCTGAGTATTTGCAGAAAAGGAAATTTGTACTAAAAATAAGTGTGACCTTCTTGGCCAGCACTCTTCTGAAATTCCACTAAAACAGTACAACTCTTTCCACAATTGTAAGAACAGCAAAAGTAATATTAAATTTGAATAATTACATCCTAGTAAAAAGCTGCATTTGAATGCAAGCTGAGACCTACTTGATGTTACTTTACTGGTACAGACATTGATACAGTTGTGTAGTCCACTTGAATCACCAACAGAACAAAGTAGACTTTTTGTATGAATTTGAACAACTATGTTATCCCTAGAGCAACAGAGATTAATGGTTTTTTCCTCTCTTCTCCCTATTTTCTTCCCCAGAAGCTACCCTTAAGAATGACAGAAAATTTCCTATACCTACTAATCTAGTCTCTGTTAGAAGGTAATATGTCAGTTCATTTGCCAGTTAATTCTTTTTAGGTAAAAGCAAAAAGGTCTGGCCCGATAACATGTACATAAAAAGACAAAGTAAGCATGCTAGGCATTGTTCATTTTCCTGGAAGCTGTTTCCCCTATATGTTTATGCAGAGTGATGTATGTCTGAGTGAGAAGTAGGGAATGATGGTGCAGAGTCACCCATGGGAGGAATTTTTCAAGCTCTAAAGTGGAGTGGCAGCGATGTGTCTCCAGTACCGTAATGTTTTCCTCGCAGCGTACACACGTTGTTAGATAGTGGATGATGTGCTGATAGGGAGTAACAGAAAGCATCTATTCTTATGCTCCGGAGTCTCACTGTGAGCCAAGTGGTTTGAATTGTCAGCCCGCAGACTGATACTGTGCATGAATAAAGTTTAAGAAGAATTGGATTGCTTGATAAGTTTCTTCCTATTAAACTGTTGCTCCTCATGTGCATTTCAGAAAAGACTCCTGCATTGGACTGTAACAATTTCAAGAAGGGAAGAATTTCATTCTATTTGTGTATTAAGATAAGGCACTTTGTTTTCTCACTTCGAATTTCGCTTACTGGGGCAAAATTTTTAAAACAGAAAAATTACATTTCAAAAAATTGAGTAGAGAGAAAGGAATTAACCCCCTTAATGTGTATATCTTACTTTCAATTCAAACCTTTTGAGATAAACTTTGTTTCCAAGTAATGCATTTACTTCTGCTGCTTATTTGTACTTTGGACATTCCTAAGGGCCCCAAATGATGTTTCACTGGACATGGAAACAGATAGGAAAAAATAGTTCCTGCCCCAGAGAGCTAACAGGCAGGAGAAAATGTAAGAGGTGATTAAAGAGGCAAATGATGTAAACAGGTAAAGAAAGTGTCCGCAGGCAGACATAGCTGTGTCAGGAATCATACACACCTATCAGTCTAACTAGTGCTAGATGGAAATACTTCTCCTGGGGCTTGTATGTACTATCTTCTATTATACCTTCTCGCATAAGGTATGATAGACAGACAGTGTCTGCATTGTGTTGCATTTATTCTTGCTATTTTTATCCTTTGCCATCCGTCTGACAGTTTGTACAGTTAAGCTGCCAGTCATTGCCTTACATTAAATTTTATTTTTTCTAGTCTCAGTCTAACTCGGTCAGTCAGTTATTTTTTTACTAGAATAAAGAATCAGCCAAGTTTCCAATTTGTGTGTTTGAATAATAATAGGCAAACACAGAGTATAATAAATCATTAGCCCTTCTGGACTGCATTGGCCTGCAAGAGAGTCCCTATTCCAATCCAGTTATAGGAGCTAAAATTTTATTTGAAATCAAATATCTGATAAGGCATATTAATTGTGGCATTTTTCAATTGGGTAAAAGATGAGGAATCAGCTATCTCTTTGAAATTAAAAATTAAAATGCAACACTCAAGACTTGTTAGTGGTTTTTTTGGCATCAAGAAAGAAGACATAGGTATCTAATATTAAATGGTGTTGCAGAAAGGCAAGTTAGCGCTTTGTTTGCCAAATTAAGTTTCAAAGACTATGTAGGTTATGAAGTTTGACTTTCTACCCATAAATCTTGAATGACTGACAGTCTACTGTAAAATAGCTTTATTCAAAAGGAATCTTTGGCAGGCGGCTTCAAAGGTTTGAAACTCTGGAAGGGATGAAAAGAAAACCCCACTTTTACACTGATTTCCCCTGCAGATCAACGTTTGTGTGAAATTTGCCTGGGAATTATGAGCTATTTACTGTATTATGTGATGGTTTTCTTTCACTATATACAAAGGCCCCTGTGGTTCCTTTTATCTTCAAGATTTAGGGATATTTTTGTACATGAAATGTGAATGAGTGAATGCATCAGTGGAACACAGGAAAAAAAAACTGGTTTTAGACAGTTCTGTTCTCCTTTATTTTATCACAAGTTGGAGTATTGGTCTTATGGCACTTAAATTTATGGGTACATATTTTTATGATAAAGCCCAACGACATATTCTGCATGCTCCGTCAAGCTCTCTCAGTGTTTCTTCACTTGATTCACAGCTCTGCAGGGTATGAATCAGTCCCATAGTATAACCCTTAATCTCTTTTTAACCAGAATATTGTCATGTGTTTTTTTTATTTAGGGGGTATGTCATCATCTAATTATGTAAATCAAAGATGAGTAAAACAAAGTATTTCCCAGAAAAACTCTTGTCAGTTGTCAATCAGTGCAGGAGACGAAGTTTCTTTATTGCATATAAGCAGCTGAGGCAGAAAATTCTTCATAACTAACAGATACTTAAATCTATCCTCAAGCAAGATGTGGCACGGCTGGGGCATGGGCTAAAGGAAAACTGGTCTGGTAGGGCATTTTCTGCTTAGAAACACGACATACCTTCTCAGGTACAGTGAGAGGCTTGAAGAGAAGGAAAGCCCTCTTTACTTTCCATTGACTCCTTTTAGCTTTCTGTATGCAGTGGGTAAAAGTGGATCGACAGAAGGTGCTTAAGCCCTTGTTTGTCTTCCACAGGGTGAAGTGAAGAAGTGAAGCCTCCTAGCTGAACTACTATGAGGTCAGAAGCCTTGCTGCTATATTTCACACTGCTACACTTTGCTGGGGCTGGTTTCCCAGAAGATTCTGAGCCGATCAGTATTTCGCATGGCAACTGTAAGTATAAGAGGCTAGAGGACTTATTTGCTTAGTACTGATCAGGGAACTTCAAATCAGAAGTATTTTGTTACAGTTGTAATGAATAAAGTTGTTTTTCTTGATGTCTCACAGATCAACAAGTTTATGTTCTTAGATACTAATATAGGAACAAGATTTTTTCATGTTGACTTATGACTTCTGGGTGGTAAACTGCTTGATCATCCACATAGCCTTTCTCCTTTTCTTTTCAAACAGAGACACTTAGAATCATAGAATCATAGAATGGTTTGGATTGGAAGGGACCTCAAAGATCATCTAGTTCCAATCCCCCCGCCTTCAGCAGGGACACCCTCCACTAGACCAGGTTGCTCAAAGCCTCATTCAGCCTGGTCTTAAACACTTCCAGGGAGGGGGCTACTTCAGTAGCATAATCAAACCAAATATTTTGTTCTATCCGGCAGCTAAGGATGGAAGCCTTCCCCCCTGCTCTCTGCCTCCATAATCAGTGTCCCTCACCTGACTTGTGAAAACATAGTTCTGGATAACCAGTGAAGCACCTCAGAGTATCAAGCATAGCACACTAAAGTAACTGAGCTCTGAAAACATAAATTATTGACCTAGTACAAATAATCAAACTTTTTTCTTTAAGCTCTGATGGATTCTGCTTTAGCATTAGGCATTTCTTGCTAAGCTGGTCATGTAGCTAAAAAGCAAATCAACACAAAGAATCTTTTGTAACAGAATCTCTCTTCTTTCTTACCAGCAGTAATGCCAACTCCCCAAAATATAGGGTAACACAGACAGCTGCAAGTCAGTATTGAGATTTGCTAGCTAAACAGGTGAAGAGCTTTCTGTGCATTTTGCTATGCAAGTCAGGCTCAGGCTTAGCATAACTGATTCTTTCACATTTACCTTAACTCAAGTACAACTACAGCAAAGAAAAGTCTTCTGAGGTCCCAAAGGTTCAGATGTTTAAAAGGAAGCCTTGAGCACCTGGGTCTGGAAAAGTATGCTAAGGTGTAGCAAGTCAGCAGTGAGTAGGTTTACGTTTAAGCCTACTTTGGATCAGGAATGTGGATTTAAAGTGAATCTCTTGATTGTTCTTGCTTACTGTGCTTTGGGGTGGCCTTGGCATCTGTAAACATGTCTGTCTTGGGTAAGACCAAGCTGAAAGACAGACTCCAGGGACACAATGTGCTCCAAATGCTAATAGGCATTTGGGATACAAGAGCAGGGCAGAACTACTCTGAAGCAAACCCTGCTAGAACATGTCTAGGTCTTCAGCACCAACATTTTCACCCTCCAGAAGGGTGATTGCTAATTTAATGCAGAAATAGCCAGTCTTGATCCTTTTTGGAGAATGGAACATAGGATAACTTCTTCCTCTGCAGCACAGCATGCTGAAATGCACATGAATGTACAAGCCCCCAGCTCATGCTAGATCCATGAGTTACACAGGAAATGGTACTGGACGGAGAAGAGCTTGACGGTTAAACTTAGGATTTTGCACGTAGGTCTTGGTCAGAAAGATTAAGCTTCTGAACATAAGTCCTACCTGGTTTATCTTGATTTGTTTCTCCAAGAGTTCTCAGCATTTGATTTGCAGGGAAGTTCCTGTTTCTATAGTTTTATCACCAGGGTTTCTGATGCATGGGACTCTCAAGTGCTTTGCTGGAGCCATGGTGTGAATCAATACTTTCACCAAGCTTAACAGGGAAAATACTTTTGTAGTGAAAACTCTACAAAAGTGGCTGAATTTCTGAAGAAATAGACTCCCTCAAACAGCTCCAGGTTTCTGGGAAATCATATTGATGGGGAAAAGTCACAGGCATAGGTAGACACTAGTGAGCTCTGTTTAACATGCACATACAGCAGTGCTGCATTGATGATGATGCTCATCAGAGGTTTATCCTCCTCCTGTCTTCGAACTATCATTTTGTTTACTTAACTAGTTCCCTAGATTGTGCATCTAGATGTCATGATCATATATACATATGAAGGCTAACAGCAAGGTGGCCCTTGGTCAAAAGTGTTCAATGTTGTTATAAGTTGTACACACAGATCATCTGGGGAGCAGCAGCACACCCTGTGTATGGTGAGGTCTCACCAAAAAAATCATGGGAATAGAGTGCATAAATGCTCTTGCTGACTGGTAGAGGGGCAGTGGAAGCTGACTTGTTGATAATACAAGGGCTTCCAGTCATTATTGTCCAGTTACCAGAAGAACCAGAGTATCAGACTGGTTGCCAAAATAATATGCAGTGACTTTCATTTTATAAGGTTTATGTGGTGGTTTCTCACCATTTCTCAGAAGTCCCCACAGCTGTTTGACAATGGCAGTTCAGTCCTTTAGGAAATCCAGGGAGCCAACAGTTTGAACCAAGGGGAGCCAAGTCTTCTGCTTTAACGACTACCAGTCCAGTCATTGTGGTGATTGATGGGCCCCTGTGAAACAGCTTTGTCCTGCTAGACAAACTTTGGCAGCCAGGAGCAAGCATTTAAGCTCTGCAAGCAGTGAAAGAAAAACTGTGAGAAAGTGCCATGTACCTGTGTGCCAAGAGCTCCACAACAGCTTTACACTGTAAAAAAATCACAATTTTTGTCTCCTACAAAGGTAATGACTCTCTCCTTTGCAGCTGCAAAGACTGTAACCTTGAAGAACTCTCCAGCTTTCTGTGCTCATGCCTTCCAACCCCATGCTGTGGTGCCAGGGCAGAACAGAAACCACGGGTTTTGTCCATAGTTGGGCCCCATAGTGCTCCGTGTTAGGATGGTTTCAGATTGTGATTCTCTTTTGACCCTGTTTTTTCTTTTCCCTCTCACAGATACAAGACAGTATCCGGTCTTTGTGGGTCACAAACCAGGGCGGAACACCACGCAGAGGCACCGGCTGGACATCCAGCTGGTCATGGTGATGAACAGGACCCTCTATGTTGCTGCTAGGTCAGTAGTCCCTTGCTTGTCTGCTCCTCCCTTGCTGCTTTCAGAGGAGGAAGGAGAAGATGAAGAGAAGAACAATCTGAGTTCTTCTCTGCCAGACACATTATTTTTAGGATTTTCTCACACTCAAAAGTGAACTTTACAGCCTGTTAGTAAGACATACTGGAAACCTTGTTAGTTGGTCAACTAAGGCTCAGTTTTACGAGGTGCTGAGACAATCCTTTCAGGACTACACACCTCTGCCTTTCCTTGAATCTGATAAGAGGGAATATGCCAGAGAAATTTTTCAGCCCCATGGAGGAGAGTCCATCCTCATCCCGTAATTTTGTTTGTGCATGCCATTAATAATGTATTTTAGAGGATCGTTCTGCTGGTGCAAAAATGCATGTTTGGATAAGAGTTATTAAACTGTAACGGTGCTGTTTTAATCACAGAATAATCACAGAATATTAGGGATTGGAAGGGACATCAAAAGATCATCTAGTCCAATCCCCCTGCCAGTATGTTTTTAATATCTTAAGACAAAAAAGAGGCAAATGTTTGCTGCCGTTCTTTTGATATACTCAGCAAGGTTAATTGAGTTTTGTGTGTGGATTTTTTTGGAGAGCTATACTGTGCAGATACAAGCATGTGCCTTTTTATAAAAATTGCTTATAGAGCCGCCCATTCAGTTTGTGTAGCTCAGCATGGCACCATCAGCTTCAGTGATGCTATGCCAATATATGGTGTCAACTTGGCACAGATTGGACATTAACACTTCCTTGCCCTGCGTGTTGTTAATGAAGGAGATTGGCAATCTTAGAGAGGGAGTTACCTGATGGATGCAGGGTAAATGCAAGAAGGATCCAGATTAACAAGGGTGGGTAGTCCAGTTTAGGTGCTCTTGGACCCACATCCTGTTTGGGACCTCCCCACAATCTGCCTCTCCAGTAGCAGCTTATTTCCTGACAGCTTTCTGGTCCTTCTCCACTGAAGAAATACTCACCCTTCTGCCTGAGCCACAGAGAGCCAGGCTGTTGCTGCAGATGGGAGAAGTCATGGGTGGGATGGCCAAGAGGTAAGAGGGAACAGCTGCTGAACAGGCAACCTCTCGCCACCAGCCCTGTCCTCAAAGCCCTTGGCAGCCTCCAGGAGCTGCCTGGCTTCCTTCTCAAACAGCCATTTCCCAGACTTCCGGGTGGTCAGCTATGTCCTGTGGTGGACATCTGCCTGTTGATCTCCACTCGGCACCAAGTATTTAGTTGCATTACACCAGCAGAATCACTGAGTGCTATTTTTACATAGTCATGTCCCTGGCTGCAAGAAGACCACACTTCTACCTGTTGACCTACCCAGGCACTGCAGCCTGACCAGCTCAGCATGTCTTCTTTGGGCTTCTCACATACGCCAGTTTGTGTGGGATGTGGGTGACAGAGCTCTGGCTTCTCACTCATACCAAGCCCTTTGCATCAAGTCCGGACAAAGAGCGTGCATCCTTCCCAGGGGAGCTGCAGTGGTGTTGGTTGTCGGCAGAAGGAGTGGGCAGCCCCACAGCAAGGCCTCCCTTCGCTTTGCCTGAGCTCAGGGCTTAGTGTTTGCTGCATGTAGTGTGATAATGAGCAGGGCGGGGGAGCGGGCTGAAAGGGTTTGAAAGGTGGTGGCAGGATTTCCTCCTTTTCATGGCCGAGTTCCCTTTGCTTTCCTTATTTGTTTTCCTTTAAATTAGGAAATCACTTGCAGCGAGAAGGTGGTAAATCCGCTTGTGGATTTTGCTCTGCTGTATTCATAGTTTGTTCCCACATGGAGACTGACGCAATTAGACTGTCACAGTGCCCAAGCAACTGGCATTAAATCAGGAAAACCCAGCAAAAAATTTGGGGATATGAAGCCACTGTGTACACAAATTATATAAAGAATGCTAACATTTCAGGGATAGTATGTGTACTGATACGAGAATAAATATTACGTCATTATATATTTGTATAAAACAGTTTGCTACAATAAGCATGCTTATATAGTCCAAGGGTCTTGTGACCTACAAAAAAATAAAGACCTGGTCTGTTTTGTACTTACACAAGCACAAAAAGTCTTCTTACACTTTTTTCCTTTGGTAACTTAAAAACTCTTTGACATATTCTTTTCCCCATCCACATGTTACTGAATAAAATCCCTGCTGGGCTGAGAATCATATGTGATACAAGTTAAAATTCAAAGGTCATTTTTATCTTTAAGTAATAAACTTCAGAAAATGAGTCATCCTTTTATAACTAGTGTGAATGAAGGTTTAGGACTGCAGTACTGCATCTCCTTTAGAGGTAGTAGTAAATCTAGAGACTGAAGCTAATGTGTACATAGTCAAAGGTGTTTCTCAAAGAGTTTTGTAACAAGATTCATTGTTGATAACATAAATCCATTAGTTATCACATCAGATGTTGCTTTCATGCTAGTTTTTTTAAACACTGAAATATAGCAATGCTAAGTTTATGTTTGTACCCAATTATCTGAAAAGCAATCAAAACAAATGATTAAACACTGAGAGTTTTTATTTTCAAGTTGTTGGGTTTGGGTTGGGTATTTTTGTTTGTTTGCTTGTTTTAGAAAATCCAGTATTTATTTTGCAGACAGTTTCTATGTGGAGGAGAGGATTAGCTCAGATTTGAGAACTGCTAGCACTTAATTACTGAGCTACTAGAATAGAACAAAATTTCTGTCTGCCAGTTGCTTATTTTGTAATATGGGATGCGTGACTCCTGCATTAGCTATTAGCAAATAAAATTTTGTGTTGCTTCAGAAAGGTTTTATTTTATGTTACCAGGTAGAGATATCCAGCCAATATAAATTAGAATAACTCAGGTGAAGCCCATGAAGCTGTGCTGTCCAAATATCTGGCTTGCACTCTGCAAAGGACCAGTTCTGTTTTCTTTTTTCTCGTGAGAAGGGTACTCCCTCGCTGTCTCTCTCACACTCGCCCCACCCATGCACACACACCCTTTTCTAAGTTTGCCATGTCTCCTCCTCCCATTGTCTTCCGTGGTGGCAGCTTTTTTTTCACATTATCTGCCAACTGTTTTGTGTGTGCAAAACGGTTTATTGAGCCCGCAAAGCATTGGGGATGTCTCTCTCCTCATTTGCGGTGACACATTTCCAGATGATGCACTGAGTGGCCAAGGGTCATGCACAGCCAGTAGCATTATTTAAATTCCCTTCCTCCACAAGATTATGCCATGGCAACAAAACTCTGTTCTGCTGACTGGAGGTGGGAAAAACGGAAGCTCTAGGATTAAGTCAATTTGTGTTAGAATAACTTAATTAGCAGTGAGCTGTACACATACCACGGCTAGTAGATAGTAGGAGTTGGGCAGCAGTGGGAAAAGGAAGGTGAGGACAATCCTGCATTGTCTGTGTGTAGAGAGCCCTCCCCTGAGTTTGACAGCTCTTTTGCTCTATGCTGACAATGTCAGTAAATACGTTTCATGTACAGCATGAGAAAATGACATGTAATTTACCTGATAATAATCCTCTTTCAGATGATCCCATAACTTAGCATCTGAGTTTTCTTTGAACTGTTTCTTGAACCAGAAAGTAGGTCCCCTGAAAGCTGTTTTATTGAGAGTGGAACTAAATAGCTCAAGACTCATTCAGAGGACCACCACTGTCTTTTTTAACTGTCTTGTTTAAAAAAGAAAAAATCATAACCACTGGAAAGCAAGACTGATTATTAAAATCAAGAGCTGTGCTGGAAGAAGGTTTTTAGAGCTCCAGACATACCTAGTTTGCAATTCAAGAGATTTTGTTCCCACTTTTATATAGTAGGAGTGATAGCAACGGAGAGGGATGTATATAAAAAGGGATCCGTGCAGTAATCTATGAAGCTGATATCACACTAATCGGTAATTTTAGTCCAGTACCAACCCTGACCACTGCTCTGCCAGTAAAGACAGGCAAATAATAAACTGAAGCATTAAACCTATCGTGGAAATAAATGACAGCTCTGGTTTTACAGAGTCTGGTGGAGAAGAAAAGCCGCAACTCCTCAGTTTGGCATCTTACAAAGCAAGCAGCCTCAAGCACCATGGCAGACAGTAGATTTTTAGAAGCCAGTTCTCCACAGTGATGCTGCTGCCTCTTTTCTCCACAAGAGACGTGTTGCTTATTCCTCTTATAGCAGTGCTTTGTGTTTGCTTTAAGAGACTAGCACCGTTTCCCCAAAACCCAATAACATGAAGCTAACCTTGAGAGCAGGGATTTCTAAAATGGAAACAGTCTGTATCCTACTTTCAGCAGACTCCCTCCAATGGTGTGGATCATGCTCCAGCTGCAGAGCTTCTTGCATTTTGAGAAAAAAAAAAACAATGTTATTTCAAGGAAAAATGAGATGCTTAGTCCCAATTTGATGTGGTGGTTACTACGGCATTGTAGGTTGGTGAGTTTTTTCAAATTTTAGGTTCCGTACAGAGGTGTCCTTGTTCTCAGCTTACACAGAGGAGAATGTTTAAAAATATCTCTTTACCTGAGTAGCTGAGTCTATTTCCTCTTTCCAAGGAGAGACTGGTGGGTTTTTAAGACAGGTTCTCAGGAAAACAGGAAAGTGAATGCAAGCAAGAAATGTGAACTTTTTCAGAGGAGTATTTTACAGTTAAGTTTTGTCACCAGTGCGTGAAAAGAAGAATGGTTTCTGAGAATAGTTTTGTTGCTGTCAGCCTTTTGCCTACTATATTGTCAATTGAATGATCACAGCTGAGGTTAGACACATGATTTAAAAAAAAAATAAAAAGGTAAGGAAAAAGAAAAAAAAAGAAAGAAAAAGGAAGGAAGGAAGGAAGGAAGGAAGGAAGGAAGGAAAGAAAGAAAGAAAGAAAGAAAGAAAGAAAGAAAGAAAGAAAGAAAGAAAGAAAGAAAGAAAGAAAGAAAGAAAGAAAGAAAGAAAGAAAGAAAGAAAGAAAGAAAGAAAGAAAGAAAGAAAGAAAGAAAGAAAGAAAGAAAGAAAGAAAGAAAGAAAGAAAGAAAGAAAGAAAGAAAGAAAGAAAGAAAGAAAGAAAGAAAGAAAGAAAGAAAGAAAGAAAGAAAGAAAGAAAGAAAGAAAGAAAGAAAGAAAGAAAGAAAGAAAGAAAGAAAGAAAGAAAGAAAGAAAGAAAGAAAGAAAGAAAGAAAGAAAGAAAGAAAGAAAGAAAGAAAGAAAGAAAGAAAGAAAGAAAGAAAGAAAGAAAGAAAGAAAGAAAGAAAGAAAGAAAGAAAGAAAGAAAGAAAGAAAGAAAGAAAGAAAGAAAGAAAGAAAGAAAGAAAGAAAGAAAGAAAGAAAGAAAGAAAGAAAGAAAGAAAGAAAGAAAGAAAGAAAGAAAGAAAGAAAGAAAGAAAGAAAGAAAGAAAGAAAGAAAGAAAGAAAGAAAGAAAGAAAGATTTCCAAAGAAAGAAAGAAAGAAAGAACCATTTCCCTCTTTTTAACCCTGAATGGCTATATGTGGCATAGTGACTGCTAGCCCAGGAATCTGGCAAAGACTGTCTAAGAACTATCATCACTGATTTCAGGATATGCAAAAACATCTGCATGCTAGATTATCTGCTGTAGGACCTATAGAGCAGAAATGATAGGAGGCTCATCTCCTTTCCAGAATCTCATTTGTTCAGATAATTGCTTTTGGAAAAGAATCTTGCTTTGAAGTTTTGTAGCATTTTTCTTTTTTTCTTAATGGGAAGGAGAATAGTTTATATATGAAAGTGCTTTTCTGGGAGAAGCAGGCGATGCTGTCAATAACATTCCCTGGTAAGACCTGTCATCTTTTTTGAATGGATTATGGATTATCTTGTAATAGATTCTGCTATTTGTAGAAAATGAACTGTCTGACTACTCCATTTGACTTTGTATTCATTTGCCTTTGCTTACAGGGACCATATTTATACTGTTGATATGGACACATCACATACAGAAGAAATCTATTTTAGCAAAGTAAGTAGCTTTTATCATCATCCAGAAACCAAGGACACTAGAACAAACTTCAAATAAATAGGAAGATGACATTGTTTCAAACAATTTGTGCCAGCACTGCTGTAAAAACTGTAATAAGCAAGTAAGATGGCATTGCTAATCATATTTGGGGAAAGCTAGAATAGCAATCATGTCCTCTGTGAATTTCTGATAAATGATTTAGCTGGGCTGATAAGCAATCCGTACTGAAATACAGTGAGGTCCCTAATGGAACATCTGTCAAACATCTATTCATTTATATTCACACATTTTCTATAACAGCTATACTATCCCAATTAAGTATACTGAAACTTTCATCATAAAAAGCAAGTACTATTTACATATTTTCATGCACACAAATTTTATTCACTCATGCAAGTACTCACTAAATAAAATTTTATTATAACAACACTTTGTAGATGTGTTCACATTATCTCCATGGGAAGTTACATTCAAACTAATAAGAGCTTTGTCTGTATTACCATATTGTATATTAACATAAACATACTAGAAATAATCTCCCTTCAGCTCCTTTGTGTTGCATGCACATAGTATAATATGTGCCAAACACAGCCTTGGTCTAGCAGAATTTGGAAACTGGATGAATTCCACTGTAGGAGTGAAGAGTGTTTCATTATAACTATGAATGATGCTGAAGATGGGCTTATTACTACTTGTCAAAAAGTGAGGGCACAGGCTTGTAGTGGAAATAAACATTCATGGTTACTCTTTCACCTTGGGGCCCTTCATGAATGCAAAGTGCCTTAGTTTACTAATGGGAATCCCTATCAGGACTGTTGTGGCTGTAGTGTCCAAGGTGTTACTATTTTAGGCCATGTGTTTTAAGAAAAGGTTTTGTTTTAATTAATCAGCCTACCACATTTTACCACTCCCAGAACTCACTACAAAAAAGTTCCACGTTGGGATTTACCTGTAAATGTTCTGGAGGAACAGTATTAGCAGATGAAGTCAGCAGTGCCTTGATAGGTGGAGAGCTCTCTGAGCCTGTTAACTGTCTCAAAGTGATAAGAGTTACCCGAATTTGATTTCTTTGCTAATTTAAAATGTCGCTTTCAGAAGACACATTTCACTTAGAATCCAATTAGGGTTTATAATCCATAAATGTTTATTCTGGTTGCAAAATGATATAAAATTGAAAGAAGAGAGCATCTAGTACTTCTAAGAAAAAGTGAATGTATATTTGAAAGTTGGCCTATGGCCAAATTCTGTTTGTTTAGGCTTTAAAAAAATAGGATAAGTTTCTAGTCTAATGAATACATGGCAACACAAAATTAAGTGAATGCTCCACATCACTGATCTTTCATTGTTGTGGTGAATTAATCATGGAGAAAGGGTGCAGAAAGCTTTCAATAAATACATGTTCAACAGCTAGTCTCCCCTAAGGGACTTCTGAAATCAAATGCAAAAACCTCTGGGCTCTAATTGATTTCTCTCTTGATCCTTGCAGAAACTGACATGGAAATCTAGACAAGCTGATGTAGACACATGCAGAATGAAAGGAAAACATAAGGTAGGCAATTTTCATTTCTTCTGCATCTGCCACTTTAGTTTAGTTGCTTCATTATTATCTCAGGCTGCTGTCTGTGATGTGGAATGGATCATGCCATTCACTTCTTGCCAGTAATTGTTTTTTCTATCAGCTTACTGAAGACTTCAATTTGCAAAAATAGTTTACCTTTAATGTGATAAAACATTATGACAGGAGCCAGAGCAATATCCTGAAATACTTAAACCACTGGGGATTTTGGACATAATGCTTAATGTACTCATTTTGCTTACCATTGCCTCAAAAGCTAAGTGCTGCTGTGCATCCTCCTGAAGAAATTTACTGAGAAGTTTGTGTAAAGCATCAGAAAGTATGAATGTGTACAGTTGTAGAAGGCTGTTTCTCACACCAATTTGACCCTGCTGTAATCTATGACTAGCACAAGTGGTATCAGAATTAGAGGCAGACTCTGATTCTTTACAACTGCTTCCCATTCTACGGATGCTTTATGCAATACATTGCATTGGTGATGCTACTGTCTTACAGCAACGCTGATGCGAATATCAGATTTTTCACTGTTGAGGAAAGCAACAGCATTCAAACAAAATTCATCTATGTGAATAGCAGCAAAATCTGAGCTATATTATGAATATCATATCTTCAGTTCTCTGTGGCCATTTTTAAACCAGTAGAATATAAATCAATTGCATCTTGCTCATTGTCAGTTAAACATAGTTGAAATAAAGCCCAGAATATCACGGTGGCTACCAGCCAATTTCATTTTAGACCTGACAATGAAATATCATTGCATAAAAATAAAACCAGACACCCAAAATGCAGTAGCTGAAATACTTTTTTATTATTTTTCTTCAGGATGAATGTCATAATTTTATTAAGGTTCTCCTAAAAAGAAATGAGGATACATTGTTTATCTGTGGAACAAATGCATTCAACCCTTCTTGCAGGAACTACAAGGTATGTGATCTGTTTATGAGATTTCATTTATACTTTGTGTTTCTGTTGGTTTTTTTGTGACTATGCTGGCAACAGCATGAGGTTGTCATTCAACAGTGCGTCGTTTAACTCTGTAGCATTTATCCTGACTTGTTTCAGTGCTACAGAGCTCAGTGTTGTTTGGATTTCTGAGGATTGCTCGGACTGATTACCTACTTCTTTGCAACTCCTGCCCAGCAGAGTTTATTGCCACTATGCATTTCCCTCCATAGGTGCAGAGTCCTTCAGATGCCTGCTTTGGGATGTGAGCACTCCTCAGAAAGTTCCTCAGCTTGTTACTAACACCTCCTTCAAGTCGTAGATTGATGCTCTGGGGTAGCACATTTTAAATGTCTCTGTTGTACTGTTCTCAATCCCAAAGGCAGTTCTCAAGACACTTGAGGGCTTAGCACAGCAAAACCTGGGAAGATTAGTGTTGAGAACCCAGCAGATAAAGAAGCTGTGGAGATCCTATAGCATTGTGTGCTGTAAAAGTGATTGACAGAGAGAGGTACAGAGAAAGGTACAGCAGGAGAGCGATGTATTCCTCACTAGCTGGGGTTCTGCAGAGCCAAAACATTATCTAGAGCAGTGTAGTAAACTGTGCTGGTCCATGAAAACCTAAAATTAATTCCTTGACCCCAATTTCTTCCTTTGACATAGAATGTCCCCCTCATCTGCATTTTAACAAGGCCCATTTATTCAAATATTTCCCAGTATTTCCCATTTTCTCAGGTTTGCACCAGTATAATTTGATACAACCCCCAACAATGGAAGTCTCTGGAGTAGCTTTGAAATGAATTAACTTAGGCCACTGATATCCAGATTCTGCTTTTCCAGGCCCTGGAATGTCCCACAGGTTATTTATCATCCTTCTTCAGGAAAAGGAAAATGCAGCTTTGCTAATGCTGCTTCTGATAAAGTAACAATTCTCATTCATTTCATTGGTTTCAGAGTTGTTGCAAAAAATAGAGTAAAGACATTAACATGCAGGAAAATTACTTCCTTAGTGGTATTCACTGTGACTGCTGCTCTGCCTTGCTTTTCCTGCCAGGCTGCTTTACCTTTAGCCACTGTGATGGCTATAGCCTAGGAAACACAGGTGAGAAGTTCAGCATAGTCTTTTCTTTCAGTCTGTGGAGGAAGAATCTAATTTGAATAAAAATACAAGCCTGCATCATGGTTACTATGTGGTACAGGTAGATACTTTGTTAGCCATTGTGGTGGTTTGGGTGGATTCACCCTTTTTGCTTGCAGCTTTCAGCCAAACACAGCCTGCTCTATCACCCTCCCCGCCCCCCCTCACCCAGGGAGTAGGGGAGAGAATTTGGAAAGAAGGGCAAGGACTCACGGGTTGAGATAAAAACTATTTACTAATTAAAAGAAAATGATAATGATAACAACAGTGATAAGAGACTATACAAATGAGTGATACACAGTGCTCACCGCCCGCTGACCAATGCCCGGCCTGTGCCAGCTAACGATCCCGGAGCCGAGATGGTCCCGAACCGAAACCCCTGAAGACTGAGCTCAAGCGATCCCCAAGAGAATGTGCCCTGTCTTCCGGTCAACCCTGGTTAATGTACTGACATGACGTGACATGATCTGGAATATTTCATTGGCACATCCAGATGCCAGTTTTGGGTTTTGCTCCTCACTGCGCTTCCCCCTTCCAGTCCTGGTGCAGCTGTGAAGCAGCCAAACACCGTGGCCTTGAGCTGCGGCAACTAAAAACATTGGTATTTTATCAATGTTCTTCTCATGATAAGTCTGAACTGAAACACTGAAAGTAAAATACTACTCTTCTAATTACTAAAAATTAACTCTATCCTAGCAAAACCAGGACTTTCTTCTTTTCTTTATTTCTTTGCATCCCGTACCTAGTGTGCAACAAAGCTTCTCGGTCTCAGTGCTGCATTTAGTCTTCCAGCACACTTTGTCATTCTCAATGCCCTTAATATGGCCAACAAATCTCAACCACTTCCCTTGCTAGAAAGTTGTCTTTTAATACAAATACAGATTTCCTTGATTTCCTGATGTGAGGGGTATAAATGGCCCTCCTTACCCTTGCTGCAGGAGTTTCATTCTCTATGGCTTTGCAAACTGCCTACCTCTTGCTGAGCTGCAATAGTGATACCTCTGGGAGTCAGCAGAAGGTCTCTCCAACACTGCCCTGGCTTTTCCTCCATGTATTTCTGCATTATATAGGAAGAGCACTGACGATATTCCAAAAAGAAAACAGGGCTGTTTTGTGATCTGTTCCTCCACGCTGCCAAAGGCAGTCTGGGTGAGCCTGGGGTGTGGGGCTTGGTGCAGGGAAAGTTGCGCAGGACTGTAACACTCATTTCCTCTCACTATCACGCGAAATGCTTTTCAGCCCTTGAGTAAATACAACTTAACTCCCTTCAGAGGGATTTTTACAGGAAGGATACATGACAGAAAACAAATGATGACAAATCGTCCTCTGGAGGACTTGGGTGCTGTAATATACTAGCTGAAAGTTGATTGGAGTAATCAATGGTGCTGTGTGGGTTATTTCTCATGCTCTGTCAATCTGTACTGTATGTGATTTGTACAGTATGAGCTACTCAAGTTGCTTGAATATGCTAGAAAAATTCTTATTCACAAAATATGTCACATAAAAAAAGAGCTGTGCCTTTCCCCTGTAGCTCACTAAAGCCTCTTGAACTTAGTGTAAAGTTGATCTGTGTATTTGTATCATTATCACTGCCTGGGGTGAATTTATTTCCTAGGTGTTAACCTTGAGCCTCAGATTTTACAGTTCCTGCACAGATTAATTCTTGCCTGATGGTAAGAGGATTTATTCGTGACATAGACTCCACTGATACAGTAAGACTTGGAGAGCATCCTTCTGAGTATGCAAATCAAGGAAGAGAGCACCACTGTTGAGACTAGAGCAGAAGGATCTCCGGACTTTGGGGAGGAAAATGCACACACAGATAATTGTCCTAGTGTTGTTTCTTCTGACTGCTGTGGCTTGCAGTCTTTTCTGTGTATAAGAGCGCTTCTGTTAGATCACTGTTGAGGATAAATTTTGAATCCTTGCCAGAACCACAGACCACATAGCCTGCTACGGTTCAACGGGGAGCTTGTGTATAGTTAAAATATAGACTGAAGACTTTTGTAAAATGTGTCAGGGTAAGAGTGATTAGCTCCAAAAGAATGCCTGACTTATTGGACACATTTTCTTCAGACTGATTTTATTTAACACTTTATTTTTAATTCATAGTCAGAAGCACAGTTAGAGAAAGGACCTTCCTCCCTGCCCAGAAAAGGAGAAACACTGGCATAAACCTTATCCTAAATTAGAAGTTTTCTTTCTCTATCTGAGGGTCTCCCTTTCATTTTTCAGATGGATACTCTGGAGTTCCTGGGAGATGAATTCAGTGGAATGGCCAGGTGCCCCTATGATGCAAAGCATGCCAACGTTGCATTGTTCGCAGGTAAAGTGACGGAAATAAACTTCTTGCTTTCTGTCCTATAGTCCAGGCTCGCCATAGCACTGCGTCTCTTGAGTCCAGAATGCCAAAATTTAAAAAGTGGCAAAGGCAGTGGATAGTGACTAAAAATAAGAGGCATAAGGAAATGACTAGCACGGAAGCCGTCCCTTCTCTCAGAATAACTTTACTACTATAAACATGCCTGAAGCCTCAATTTCCCAGTACAATATTTCGGTATTTCCTGGATTCATGATGATATGATGCCAGACCAGTGTGAGGCACCATTTCTGGCTGCATCCGGCTTCTGCAAAAGTCAAGGAAAGTCAAGGCTTGTGTGAACTTTAATGGACAGGATGTGCTCTTTAACAACTCAAGCTTAAGTTAAGCTTCATAATAAAGGGAATTTAGGGAACATGCTGTGATATCACCTTTTCTAGATCTAGAATGAAATGTGAAGGTGATACTATTTTAAAGCAGAAAACATCTCAATGTGGTATTACCAGCTGTTGTGGACAAAGGAGATAAGTGTGTTGGTTAATAATGATTTATGCTGTATGCAGCAGAATACAGTTAACTCTGATTTCTACTACAATAGTTTAAAAAATTGAGTGCTTATTAATGGGATTAATTTGGGCCATTGACTGTGAAATGGTATTTTTTTTACCTCTCTTTATGAATTCCTAGTTAAATTGTTTCTTTATTGAACTTTTCTCAGTGTGAACACTGCTGAACTTTTCTTAGATTTTGCTATAAAATAGGTGGTAAAGATAATGTAGAAGTCAGCCGTGATAATGTCAGTCCTCTTCAGCAGCTAGAAAGCAGAGCCTGGACTCTCACGTGGAAATACTTTAGCTATTTCTGTGAAGATTTAGGAGTGTGCAAGTATATCAGCCACTCTCGACTGAGTCTGTGGCTGAAGAACTGTATTAAGCAGTAATGTGTTCGAGGTGGCATCATCTGCCTTACAAAGGAGAGATTTTGTAGCAGGTTGCAATTATTTTTTTTTTACTCTCTATAGTGTAAATAAATGCATCCTTTTGTTTCAAAAATAATGGTGGTGGTGATGGTGGTGGTATGTAATTTCTTAATTACAGTCAAAGGAATATAAGGTAAAAATTCTCTGATTGTAGCAGGTAATTCAGAAACCATGTAAAGAGAGAGAGACACCTTCAAAGAAAGTTTTATTCCATGTGTCTCAGATTCCCTATCCTTAGAGCAGTATGAATCACCTTTCAGAAGGGAGTTTCTTACTATACGGGCCAAGAAAGTGTTTATGACCAACTTAATGTAAATATTTACCTTACATGCAGCTGAAGTTTGGTAAGATGACTCCCACTCTATCTCTGAAGAAGTCTTCACATTATTTGAAAATAAAAGGAATATTTATAAAAGTCATCATACTCTTTCATTATGATTCAGAATAAATTTGGTACTGTTCAAATAAATTCTTATAGCATATACCCCGTAAATCTGCTAGCTCCAGAAAATCAGTGTTTGATATGCCATACATATTGATACCCCTGATAACTTTTCAGAGTGCAGTGAAAAGCAGTTTCAGAGCATTTTAGGGCACTAATCTAACTCGTCTGAGTCTGTTTGGTGCACTTACATGAATATGGCTCTTCTTGCAGCCTGTAGGTACTACAGCTGATATGTGTGAACTGTAATTGGTCACATGGTCTTCAGGAACTTGGCAAGAAAGAAAATAAAAGTGTGATTGTATTAACATGTGTTCAGACATGCATATCTAGACAATTCAACTTTTTATTCTATTTTAAAATTGCGTTTAGTATCTGCCTTTTTTGTAATTAGTTTTTTCTGGTTTTGCTAAGGAAAAAAGCCCATTTTTAAATAGCTGAATAATGATGGGAATTGTGGGGCTCAGAACAAAGAGTACAGTCCTGCTAATAAGAAACAGTCTGATATTTAAATCCTGAGCTGAAATTAAATGTTGTCTGTAAGTGCAATGAGGAAAGCTTGACCAATAGAAGCCTCTCTGCTTTGTCTCGGGTATGTCCTCCATGCTGGTGTCTTCAAGGCCCAGCACCCAACATAATCTCTGTCAAAGGAGATGTAGCCCATTCTGATTTTTATGTAGACACAACAGACACACAAATTGCTGTCCTCATGCCACGATACTTGTGCTCCTACCAGACATCACGTTCCAAGATGTATCTCATACATGAAAACAGCCCTGTGCAGTTGCCATGACCTGCAAACAGATTAGACAACTAATATAATTTAAAAATATTGTTGGAGCTCATGCTTTTACCTCCTGACAGTTTTGCATCTTTTAGTGGTCCTTGGGATGCCATTTTGTAGACCGTTTCTTATCACTTGTCCTCTGGTTCTTCAAGGGAGAAGAATGCATAATTCATGCAGGAAATGCCTGAAACACGCTTTACAAAAGAGACACAGATAGGCAATACTCCTCCACCTCTTTGCATCCCTGTTCCACCTGGGCTCCCTGCATACTATTTAATTTTTTGCTAGTGATCTTTGGCAGATGAGAAGTGCTCTCAAAGGGAGAAATTTGCATAAGTGTCAATTGGCTGACAGTCCCTAAGACCCTAAGACTGGGTTTGCCCTCCCAGAACTAACAGTTCTGCCGTGGCTTCCCCATGTTTATTTTGGTCACATATATAGGCAGAATTTATAAGCATTGAACCAGAGGCATGTGCAGGGAAACTGGATAGGGTAGTTCAGTATGACTTGTCTAAACTGGAGAAGAATTACTCCATAAGGTTTCTTCTCCCACAGTATCCCTCTGAGATTATCATTGTGAAAACTGGTGACTTGCTTGTTCAGTGTTCAGCCTCATTTGCCTAGCTGGATTTTTCCCTTTCAGTGTTCCTAAGGAGATTGTGATAATTTCATTTTGCCCATGTCATTTGACTAATGAGAGAAAGCAATTATATTATTTCTAATGCTCCACCCCTCTTGTTTCTTCTTTCCTTCCTCCCTAGAGGGAAAACTGTATTCTGCCACAGTGACCGACTTCCTTGCAATAGATGCAGTCATATACCGGAGCCTTGGAGACAGCCCAACTCTGCGGACAGTTAAACATGACTCAAAGTGGTTGAAAGGTATATAAACAAACAAAACAAAAAAGCGGATTCCTGACAGACCTCTCTCTCACTGCATTTCACCAGCGCTTTCTGGCAGAAAGAAGGAACTAAATTACATCTCCTTCTTACACTGGTCTGTTTCTCTCTTTCCCTCTTCTCCTGACCCCAAGTTACTGGACCTAGTAGAAACTGTGAGCATGGTAGATCAGAATATGTACCAGACAGCTTTCCAAGATGAAATCCATCAGTGTACAGCTACTGGACGTAAAGGTTGGAACTTGTAGGGCTCAGTGTGCTTGGGCTGTGTTTGAAAATACTCCTGCCCCAGGACTGTGTTAGGTAACAGTCAAGGATTCATGAAGTGTAGAGGGTTTGTTCTGTAGCATTAAGATTCATCAATGAAAATAAAATTATGGGAATATTGCACAAAGCCTTTCTTTTATGTTTCTTAGGGACTGCACAGCTGCCATTGAATTAGGCAGTTTCTGTGCTCTCAATGCCCTCATTGTTAAGAACGGTGCTGTTTAGCTTCACGTAGGCGTTATGAATAGTTAGCATTTGGAGTGATTTTAACAGTGAGCAAAGCCATAGTTTGAAGTTTTTTTCTGCACGCAGAAATGTTTTGCCAGGTGTCAACTTTAGCTGTCCCACTTTGCTCGCTGCTACCAACACTTGTGGGCAGAAACAGTTACTTGGTTTGTTATTCCCTCCACACACAGCCTGCATGCTATAAAGAGCACTGCTTGGACCCCTCAGGCATACCATTATATATTGCCTCTGTACCTTTCCTCATACACCTTGTACTACTTTGCAGTGAAGTTGCACAGATCTGTCCCCAACACTGTCAAATTGCTAGATCTGAAAACAGAGCAAGTGTGCCTAATGCGGGCATTTCATCTTTGGATGTTTATTGTGAATGTATTTGGCTTCTCTTTGCATGCTATATGCTGTACATGGTGTACATAGGATGTCTTGGTGTTTTTTTCTAGAACCATACTTTGTCCAGGCAGTGGACTATGGCAATTACATTTACTTCTTCTTCCGGGAAATAGCAGTGGAGTACAACAGCATGGGAAAGGTAAGGGCAAAAACGTTGCCTTGAATGACTTTGTCAGATTCAGGAGGAGGAAAACATATGCTATTCTTGGACCAATGTTGTTAGGAGTGACCTTCAAATGAGAACCATAAATCATGATGACAAGGTCATAATTTTGAGAAGATTCCTATCACTCAAGCCAAAAGGTTGGTTGGAGTGAAACATTGCACTGTCTTGAAACAGGGTGGTTTCTTATGGTGACGGTGGATGCTGGAATCTTTTTTCTCAAATCATAAAAAGCACAAGGCAAATCTGGTTACTTCAGCATAGTAGGTAATTGTTAAAAATGGATTCCAAAGCAGGGACATATTTTTCTTTTAAGAAATATGGATTGGAGTGCTGAGCAAACAGAGGCATGAATTTTGTGTGCTGCCATTCTGCAATGAATAATTAAAGACTTTCTGCATTTTTGCTAATTTGACAATAGCTTTCTGACTAAGCAGTCAGAAAAGCTGACCATGGTCACAAAGGTGGAGGGCAGGAATAAAAGCCCAGTGAGATTTGCATAGGTTTTAAGTGCTGAAAATACAAGTCAGAGCAGGCAGCATGGGTTGCAGGGATTGTGAATATAAAATGTGCTTTTGTTTGGGGAAATAGAAAGCTAAGCAGTCTGTATGGAAATGAGTTTTATATGGGTTGAGAACAGATCTCCTGAAGGATTTATGGCTGTATAGTAAATGCCACAGCTCTTATCTTTTATAGCACACTGTTCAAAAGCTGATTTTTTCCCTATTTCTTATTTGTCACAGATTATGGAAATGTGGAATTAAATTAGGCATCTGACTGAGTTATTCCAAATGTTTTAAAAGCAGAATTCCAACAAGGTCTTTTAGTTCAAACAAACATTTCATTTACTCCATTATTTTTGCTCTACTCCTTCCAGGTAGTTTTCCCAAGAGTGGCTCAGGTTTGCAAAAATGACATGGGAGGATCTCAGAGAGTGCTGGAAAAACAGTGGACTTCCTTTCTCAAGGCTCGTTTGAACTGCTCAGTTCCTGGTGATTCACACTTCTACTTTAACATACTGCAGGCAGTTACAGATGTTATCCATTTCAATGGCCGGGATGTTGTTTTAGCAACCTTCTCCACTCCGTATAATAGGTAATAGGCACAGTAACCTTTTACCTTCTGTGTCCCTTATGTTTTGCTTTTCACTGCAGTTTCTTTTTACTTTATGAAGATATAAGAAGTGATTTCTCTTACCATGTAATAATTATGAACTACGCACTTACTGATAGTTTGTGTTTCATTTTAAGATACTCTGGTATTGCTTGCTGCATTTTATATCTGATAATTTAGAGCAGCTTTCAGCCATTTACTATCTGGACATGTTCCTTGGAAGTACTTTTCTTTACATGGGAATAATTCAGACTTGCCACCAAGAAGTTTTGCAGCATGTAACTTGTAACTTGCAGAATGTTATTCCAGAAAGAGAATGATTTTTTTTTTCTCACAGAGAAAGGAGTGGGTCTGTCCTGTTTACATCTAAACCCCCAAGAACCACGTTAGTACCCCTTCCCTCTGTTTCATGCATCCCTACTGACTCTTGCATTTTCTCCTGGGAGAGCCAAGATCCTAAGCTGTCCTGCTTGCTGGGGAGGAGGGTCCCCAGAATATCTGTATGTCGTCGTTCTCATAGTTTTCCAAAAGCATCAGTTCACCTGCAGAGAATTTATTACCATAGCACATTATAACTTGTTTCTCTGGAAGTTATTAGAAGAGTAACTGTATCTAAGTATTGAAGTCTCCCAGAGAAGTTAAAAACAAAGTAGCATTCTAATTAAAAAACATATTGCTGTGTCACAAAGTAACAGTTGAACTGAAAAGGGAACTTTATTGCTGAAATTCATCTGTTTTTGCTGTACATACCACCTCTTGTCAAAGCCTGACCTCAGCGAGGTCATGAACAGAGCTGACTTCAAGTGGGAGTAAGCCCAGGCCTGTAATCTATAATCACTGCTTTTGACATCAAAACGATAGGAACTGCAATGGAATAATTTTGCCACCAATAGAGAATACAGGCTTAAATTAAGATGATCTCTCTGGCTTAATAAAAAAAAGTTAATAAACAGAGATTCAGTGTCAGAAAATAGTCTGTGTCTTGAGATTGTCTCAAAATTGAGATTGTCCTTCTGCTCTGCTATTATTTCCTGTGGTGTCATGAATAATACTTTTCCTTAAACCCTGCATTTTAAAAGTACTTGACATTAAAACCAAGGTATTATTTTATAGGCACCATTTTTTGCTTGACATTGAGTATGACAGGAAGCCGCATAGGCTTGGTGACACCTCACTAACAGACCTATCTCTGACACAGACACATCTCTCTCGTTTTTCCTCCACTGAGGAAAAGCTGCAACAAGTATCTTTGATCCATGGAACAAAGCTTTCCCCTACAGTGAGCTGGAAGAGATTTCCCAATCTAACTCAAGATCACCCAGAGTGGGAGCTGGTGATGGGCCATAGTCCAGTGGTTAGGAGATGACTTGGCTGTGACCCACAGTACTCCATCTGTATGGCTTTGTCACATTGTGGACCCACAAATTGCCGTCCTCAAGCATAAACAGTTGCACTCTTCTCAATGCAACAATCCCTCCATCTCTGTGGAATTATGTGTTAAGCACAGTTCTCGGCACTTTTAGTTCTGTATAGTACACTTCAAGATTTTAGGGTTGTTTCTTCTTTAGTGCTTAATTCAGCAAAGTGCAAAGTCATCTAGCTGGAGTGGGTCTTGAGGTGTCTTTTAGGGTGAGGTCCTGTGTGGAAAAAAATACCCTTGACCAACTTTTATGTTAACATGTGTGGCTGTCCCCATTTAAAACTCTTGCTATGTAGTGTCACATTAATACAGAGCTTTGAAGTTTCCTTCTGTACAAAAACACTGGAGATCAAAGTAAGACTAATACTGTCTCCCTACTTTTTTCTTTCAGTAACAAGTATTTTGAAACCTTTTAATATTAAAACAGTTATTTTCCTATCAATTTATATTTAGTTTTATTCTATTTTACAGTATTATAATTCCTACATTTCTTCTTTGGTGTATAATAACTTACTAGCTAAAAGCAGAATTTAAAGCCTCAGCTAGCTGGGTTCATGCTATTTACCTGGTAAAATCAAACAGTGAAAGTCAGACATGAATACAGTAGTTCATGTGTAAAAAAATGAAAGGGGAATAGGTGAATAATTCATGCTTCCAAGTTACTGACCATTGGAAACCCCTAAAACTTTCAGAAAGTATGTAGGTAAGGATATAATTATGTTTAGACAGTGCTATCTTGCAGTTACATGCAAATAATAAAAAAGTTGAAATTTACAACTTTATGATCTAAAAATAAAACTGAATTTGCTTCTATAAGCTCTTTATACCTCATTCAGTTAAGCAGATTCCTGAGCATAGTTAACTCCTTTCTGTTGGGAAAAATTGGTGAAGATCAGGCTGTGGGAGGATGGAGTAATAACATGTAAATGCCAGGTCACTGTTATATTGCAGCACACTCCCAGTTTGAGCAGCACCAACTTCTGAACTATCTGCAATGTATTTCTGAGGCATGACAGGGACTGTGAGAGATGCTGTGGCTTACAAGAACTTAAATTTCCAAATAACAGGCTCTGAATGAGACTGGCTATTACTCCTCATGCATCACCAGTGGTACACAGAGTTTCACAGATACTTTCCCTTGTTCAGGATTGTTGTAGTTACTTCTTTCTATAGAATTTGAAACAAATTGTGCAGGCAGGAACTGTCTGCTGATTGGTACTTTCAGGCTTTTCCATGGGGCTGGCTTTTCCTGCCAATACTCAGAGGTTACAGAGTTCAGGATTGAGTAGCCTGTGACAGGAAGACTTCTATACAGCATGTTTTTCATTCAGGATTTTATGCATAATTGCAGAATGAGTAACAATTTCTGGGAAATGTCACTTTGCAGCATCCCTGGCTCTGCAGTCTGTGCCTATGACATGCTTGACATTGCCAATGTATTTACTGGGCGATTCAAAGAACAGAAGTCTCCAGATTCCACATGGACACCAGTTCCTGACGAACGAGTACCCAAGCCCAGGTACGTTTCGTGTGTAGTGATATTGTTCTGTTCCTGCATGCAGCACAGATTTGGCAGTTTGAACAGCCTTGTAAGGTGCAGATGCAATTGAAGATGCATGTTGTAACAGTAAAATAGGAGTTGAGTTGCATTTGGATCTAAGGTATGCAAGTGAGAAGTTTTCCACTTAAACAAGATTTGTGTAACTTAAATCAGGCCAGTGTCAGCTCTGCTTGGTCAAAATCATCTATCACTTAAGAGTGGTATGAGTTACACACCTGTTGCAAATAGGATCAGTAATGGACATATCTCATTACAAATCCTGCACCAGTTCTACAGTTTGCAGTTTTAGAGTTAACATGCAATTTACATGCCACAAAGGATGCATCATGGGGAGAAAAAAACAGCATTCCATCAAAATGGAATCACAGAATTGCCTCAACTGGAAAAGACCTATAAGATCCTCACGTCCAGTCATTAACCTAACACTGACAAGTCCCCTAAACCATGACTAAACCATGTCCCTAGGCGCTATGTCTAGATGACACTTAAATACCTCCAGGGATGGGGACTCCACTTCTCTGGGAAACCTGTTCCAATACCTGACAACCCTTTCAGTAATTCTTCCTAATGTCCAATCTAAACTTGCCTTGGTGCAACTTGAGGCCATTTCCTCTCATCCTATCACTTGTTATTTGGGAGAAGAGAACGCCCCCCACCTCTCTACACCCTCCTTTCAGGTAGTTGTAGAGAGCAGTAAGGTCTCCTTTCAGCCTCCTTTTCTCAAATCTAAACAACCCCAGTTCCCTCAACCACTCCTCATAAGACTTGTGCTCCAGGCTCTTCACCAGCTCCGTTGCCCTTCTCTGGACACACTCCAGCACCTCAATGTCCTTCTTGTAGTGAGGGACCCAAAACTGAACACAGTACTTGTGGTGCAGCCCAACCAGTGCCGAGTACAGGGGTAGGATGACTCCCCCAGTCCTACTGGCCAGACTTCCTGATGGATGCCATTGGCCTTCTTGGCCACCTGGTCACACTGCTGACTCATGTTCAGCTGCCTATCAATCAACACCCCCAGATCCATTTCTGCTGAGCAGCTCTCCAGCCGCTACTCCCCAAACCTGTAGCACTGCTGAGGGTTGTTGTGGCCAAAGTGCAGAACCCAGCATTTGGCCTTATTGAAACTCTTGCAATTGGCCCTGGCCCATTGATCTAGTCTGTCCAGATCCCTCTGCAGAGCTTCCCTACTCTCAAGCAGGTCAACACTTCCACCCAGCTTGGAGTCGTCCACAATCTTACTGAGGGTGCATTCGATCTCCTTGTCCAGATCACTGCTAAAGATGTTTAACAAGAGTGGCCCCAGTACTGAGCCCTGGGGAACACCACTCATGACAGGCCACCAGCTGAATTTAACTTCATTCACCACCACTCTTTGGGCCTGGCCGTACAGCCATTTTTTTACCCAGTAAAGTATATGCCCATCCAAGCATATGATCCTACTTTATAGTGAGCAGCCAGTGAGCAGTGAGCAGCCAGTTTCTCCAGGAAAATGCTGTGGGAAACAGTTTCAAAGGCTTTACTAATAGTCCAGATAGACAATATCCACAGCCTTTTCTTCATCCACTGAGTGGGTGACCATGTTGTAGAAGGAGATCAGGTTGGTCAAGCAGGACCTGCCTTTCATAAACCCATTCTGACTGGACCTGATCATTTGTTTCTCCTTGTATGTACTGTGTAATGACACTCAAGATGACCTGCTCCATCAGCTTCCCCTGCACCAAAGTCAAACTGACAGGCCTGTAGTTTCCTGGATCCTCCTTCCAGCCCTTCTGTAGATGGCTGTCACAATGGCTAACTTCCAGTCAGCTGGGACGTCCCCAGTCAGCCAGGACTACTGAAAAATGATGGAAGGTGGCTTGATGAGCACCTCCACCAGCTCTCTCATAACTCCGGGTGGATTCCATCTGGTCCCATAGACTTGTGCACATCTATGTGGTGCAGCAGGTCACTGACCATCTCTTCCTGGAATGCACAGGGATCACTCTGATCCCAGTCCTTGTCTTTTAGCTCAGGGGGCTGGGTTCCCAGAATAGAACTGGTTCTATTACTGAAGACTGAGGCAGACAGCATTGAGTACCTCAGCCTTTTCCTCATTCAGTTTACCTCATTCCTCCTATGAGTTATTTTCCCTGCTTCCTCTTTTCTCCTGTTTGCATGTGGCTCCTCTATTACATTCTCTTTGTATTTCCTACAAGCACCTGTTTTGTACAAGTTGCTGTTGACAGCCACTTGTTAACTCATTTACACCAGTGACATTTTGCTCTGAGAAAATGATGTGAATGTAGATAAAGCAAATTCATTTATCTCAGTCAAACTCTACCACTTTAACGTGCGTTTTACATTGCCTGTGATATCTTGCATAACTTCATAAGAAAAACACATCCGAAGCTCTGTGGTGGCAGCTTAGCTTCTACCTAAATCCAAAGTTGTCCCATCATGTTTTGGAGTTGCCAAGTATAGTATTCGCGTGCTGTCTTTATTCCAAGGTGGTCACTCAAGAGAAGAGCCTGGAGGTAACTGGAAAATCTGGTAAATTCTGTGTCTGTTTTCAGTCTGAGCCTTAGTAAGGCACCTGCTAGCACTGTTGCTGTATTTTCTTTTCCTTTTTGAAGTGTTTAAACAACTCATTGACATGGTGCGCCACCTTGTTAGTGCCAGGCTGCATGAGGGCTCCAAGGTTGTTTGTTTGGAACTTACTCAGATAACGAGTACTGTCAAGGAATGAGAAAAGGAGAAAGAGAAATCTTCTCTTTCAGTAGGAAGGAAGAAGAGAAAATTCCATCGTGATTTTGTGGGATAAACCAATAGCAGGCCAACAGTTACAATGAAGGTAATACTGCTCCTTCTACATCAGCAGGAGATAACATGAACTGAATTGGTAATCACTGTTTCATGTAACATTTGGCCATCAATCTGCTTAACAGAAATAAACATTACTTCTAGCTCATGTTGAAATGCATGAGAGGCACAAGACACCTCTGAAATAAGGTCATTTTTGTTTGGGTATGTCAGTATGGTGCAGAAACATTAGTGCTTCTATTGATCCTAACATTTCTCAGAAACATACCAGAGCCTTTCCGGGTCTTCGCTTCCCTTTTTGGCTGAGGTAAACAGCAGAGTTTACTCAGTTTTATGTTTACTTGATTAAACCAGTTTTGAGATTAAAACAGGATTAATCCAATCATGTGATTAGAAATTATGAGGAAATAGACCTCCAAATTAGATATACAGAAACCCTAGGCATCACGGTGCCAGAAGGCTGCTCCTTAGAGTTCTCTGGGAATGTCACCTCATGAATCAGTGCCCTTGCAAGGACGTAGGAGAGACTGGCGGTGTCCTTGGTTTCTCCTTCTCTCTCTCTATTGCTAATTCTATATGCAGTTACAAGAAAACCAAAATATTTTGGAGACAAAGAGGAAGATCCCAGTCTCTGCATGCAGCTCTATGGGCCCAGACTCATTGACCCAGCTAGTGTTCTCCAGTCCTGTGCTACCTTCCTAGATAATGTCTAGTTACCTAAGGTTTGAATAAGTATTTAAATCTGAGCAACAGATAGGATGGGGCCAGCACTATATTTTTTTAAGATGGCATTACTCTGTTGATGTCAGTGGCTCTACCCACATCAGAGCAGATGAAAATTGGACACTAACACGTGTTTATGAGTGGGTGGTCCATCTTTCATTTTACTGTCTCATAGTGGCTCAAAGGCTTGAAGAATCATGATGCTCTAGGAAATGGGATCAAATGGACCTTTTTTTGGAGGCAAAATATTAATAACAGGCAGAGCATTTTGCTGCTTCCTGTGTCGAGGTGACCTGTCCAAGCAGGAAGGTTAAGTTATTGCTGATAAACAGGGTAGATTTTAGAAATAGGGTGAGCAGATTTGCATTTAAGTTGTTGAAGAATTATTAGGTAACATTTCAGTGAAAGTCTTCAATGTGCTACCATACTTAAATAACTCATCCAAATTGAAAGGTAAAACCAATGTTTGCATGGATCCTTGCTGGGTTGTCTTCTCCTATAGTCCGCTTACTACCAGACAAGACTGAAAGCGGCATTCTTTCACACATGCTAAGAAAATTAACTTCTTTCTGTATGTTCAGGACTGCTCTTATTCCAGGAAAGAGCAGTCAAATAGGCAAGTTACAGATCAGAAAACACCTGCGCCCAGTGGGAAGCATCAAGCCAAATGCACACATGTAGTGATTAGTGTGAGTGGACAAATTGTGTGTCACACTTGCTGAAGAAATGTCTCTGTGCTTTTAGGTGACATGTTAAATCCTTTGACAGGAGCATAGAGCAGGATTTTAGGCTTCTGCTGACAGGCTGAACAAGTCCACCAGACTTCTCAATCCTCCATTTAAACTCTTATAATGTACATCAGATTTCACTGAGGGCCTCATTACAAAAGGAGATTTGCACTACGCATCAAATAGATGTTCTGGCTTTACACTTTTGTTTTATTTAGACCCGGTTGCTGTGCTGGCTCTGCATCATTAGAAAAATACGTAACTTCTAATGAGTTCCCAGATGATACTCTAAACTTCATCAAAACACATCCCCTGATGGATGAGGCTGTACCTTCCATTGTCAATCGACCCTGGTTCCTGAGAACGATGGTCAGGTACGTATCTCCAAGTGACCTTTTCTCATCATCGTAGCTGTCAAGTTGGGCTAATAGTTTTGCTTGGAATACTCACAAACTCTGTAAACATCCTCAGTGTGCTAGGCATTAATCCTGCTAGGAATGATGGCAGCACTGAGCAGATACCGCAGAACTCCCTGAGCAGCTTTCAAGATAGGAAAAAACCTCAGTCCTTTCCAACGACGCTGTGCTGAAATGGGATCTTGGAGGAAATGCTGTGCAGGGAAGGTTGACCCACCTGTTGGCTTATGGGTCAGTGTTTGAGACAGATCTGTAGAAAATCTGGGCAATGATAGCAGACAGCTCAGGGATATGCACACAGGATACAAACATGCCTGCCAGGATACGTTCACAGGATATGAAGATATCTGTCGGGATATGTACTGCTATGTTTTAATGTTTACGGAAGTGTACAGGCAGAAGTAATCACATAGTCTGTATCCTTTCTATGGCAACAAGAGAAAAGTAATAATGGAGAGATTTGAACAAAGACTCATAAATCGACAAGCCTCAAATACACCATCCCCTTTCTGTCAAAATACATTCCCACTCTCTGCTGTGGGCGCTGTACTGCTTGTCTACCCTCTGGTTGTGAGCAGAATAGTGTCACTAACTTTTGCTGTATTTTCCTCTCTTCCTTCATACAAGGGTAGAGTTTTATGCAGTGATTAGCTCTGGAAGGGTCTGACTTACAGAGTTGTAGGAGTTGGAAGGGACCTCAGGAGATCATCTAGTCCAACCTTCCTGCCAAAGCAGGTTCCCTACAACAGGTTACACAGGAAAGCATCCAGGCAAGTTTTTAATATCTCCAGAGATGGAGACTGCACAACCTGTCTGGGCAGCCTGTTCCAGTGCTCCAACACCCTTAGAGTAAAGAAGTTTTTCCTGAAGTTTGTATGGAACTTTTGGTGTTCCAGTTGTTGCCCATTGCCCCTTGTCCTGTCACCAGATAATACCAAAAAGAGCCCAGTCCCATCCATTTGGTCCCCTCACTTCAGGTATTTATAGACATCGATAAGATCCTCTCTCAGACTTCTCTTCTCCAGGCTGAAGAGTCCCAGCTCTCTCAGCCTCTTCTTGTACTGGAGGTGCTCCAGGCCCCTCATCATCTTTGTGGCCCTCCGCTGGACTCTCTCTAGAAGATCCCTGTCCCTCTTGAACTGAGGAGCCCAGAACTGGACACAGTGTTCCAGATGTGGCCTCTCCAGGTTTTAGTAATGTATCATCTGTCAGGATTTTGTGTCAGATTTCTGTACCTCCAACTAAAGATGAGAGCAGCAAACTCTGCAGAGTGCTTTCCTTTCGTTGCCAGCACCGGACAGCTGGTACCAAATGACCAGTACTCGTTTTCAATAAATTGTGTCATACCAAGATTCAATATCATCTCAGCAGTGAATTTTCTTAGTGACAGTTATGTGATTACTTTTAGTGAGGTTAAGTGGTGTTTAGCATCTCACGATTGCATTCCCACCGAAAGGTTGAATGTAGATTAGTTAACATTATTGCTGCTTTTAATGTGACAGAGCTTGAAACTAATAAAAAATTTCACTGTGCCGATTGTCTTTCCCTGCCTGAAGAAGTCACCAGGCTAGTACTTTGGTTTTGATTGGAAGGAATAGGCTAAATGGCCTCACACTCTTAGCACCCTTTCAGCTTTCTGCAAACACTTCTGCTAGCTGTTGGACATACAGATGTGCAGACAAACACATGAAAATTCCCCACCATTTGAGGAGCCAAACTGGTACAGTCTGTGTTGACTTTTAGGGTTATTGAGCTAGGAAAAGCATTTAGATATGTTATATTGTTGCTAAAAGGCTACCACACAGTTATCTGAAGTGGAAAAAATGATAAAATAAATGACAATCTAATCTCAAGTGATGCAAAATCCTGTATTGTTATTCTAGATACCGCCTGACCAAAATTGCTGTGGACTCTGCTGCTGGGCCGTATCAGAACTACACCGTGGTTTTCTTGGGATCAGAAAAGGGAATCATCCTGAAGTTCTTGGCACGGACAGGAAACAGTGGTTTCCTAAATGATAGCCTTTTCCTGGAGGAGATGAACGTTTACAATCCTGAAAAGTGTGTATCTAATTCTTTGTGCTCATGTACGGGCAACTTTGAACTTCTGATTTCCCAGAGAGTAGGTTGTCCCATGAAAAGGGAAGTGGTTTGAGAAGCCAAGTTTTTTCAGTAATTTTAAATTCTTTGAGGAGGGGATGTCTGCTTATCAATTTCTACATTACAGTAAGATATTTTTTATGCAGAATGTGAAGAAGATAGTCCATCTTATGCAGCAGTTGATGGATGATTAAAAGTTAAATTCTGCAAAGGAAAATTAATTCTCTAATCATTTTAAAAACCTGATTCCTCTCCAAATAACTCAATAACCAGCAAGCTGCTCTCCAAGGGAAATTTCCCGCATTTCAGCCTTCCCAAATATGCCTCAGGGGGCTTTCAAGTGGGCCATAATCATGCAGAAATTTCAGCCACTTTGAGTGCTGGAGAAGAATAAACACAAAAAATGAAGGGCCCTCAGAAAGCTTGTCTGGTGTGCTGTCTCTCTCCACTTCTTATTCCCCTGACTCATGCATTTTTAATTCTCGCTTATGTGTCTTATCAGTGGTTTTAGTGGCTATTGTGTGTTCTTTTTCCTCGACTTGTTCAATTCTACCTTTCTCAGGATTTTTTTGTGGGAGGTTTTCTGGTGGGGTTTTTTTTTCAGCTTTGGGAATCATTAAGTCTTCACCTGGTTTCCCAGTAGAACTTATTTATAACCTTATCTCACATTTTTTCAAAACAGGTGCAGCTATGATGGTGTGGAGGACAAGCGGATAGTGGGCATGCAGCTTGACAAGCCCAGCAGCGCCCTGTATGTTGCCTTCTCCACCTGTGTCATCAAGGTTCCCCTGGGACGTTGTGAGCGTCACGGCAAATGCAAAAAGTATGTGCTTTCTAGTGGCTGTCAGCAGCCCGCACACCAGGCGTTGGGAAAGCAGGAGCACTCATGAATGCCATTTTGTGCTCTTCTTTCTCGAGGGCCTGCATAGCGTCCAGAGACCCCTACTGTGGATGGGTGAAGGAGAGCGGGGCGTGCATGCAGCTGGTCCTTGGCTCCAAGTGAGTAAGGGCTCTGGCTTGATGGGCAGTGAAGTTCTGACAGTGGCACCGCTCGGTCCTGGGCAGAGCTATTTGAAACATGGGGCTCTTAGGGAAGTAAAAATGTGGGAAGTGTTTGTTTCTACTTTATTTGCATTCACCTGTGAAATGTCTCACAAATTTTTTTGATGTGAACTCTCAGCTGATTGGTAGCTGCTGAAAGAGCAGGAAGAAGAAAACGAAAGAACTGTACTAAGGTCTGTGTGTTAATGAAAAGAGGGAACTGGATGGGTATGTCTGGACCAGCCCACACTAGAGCCATCACAGCTGATTAAAGAGGCAATAGAATCCAAATCAAATTACTGAACCAATTTGTCCACTGAAAACAAAACCAGTCCTTCTAATTTACTGTGCATTAGTAAGAGGAGTCACAGAGCACAGTAAGAGCTTAAAGCGGATTCAAAGAAGTGCTGGATCTTCCCTTGCTTAACAGTAGAATTTAATTACTTTATAATAGTAAAGGTCTGTGAAGGTTTGTTTAAATGTGTTTACTGAAGCCTCTTTGCAGGGAGCAGACCTACTTCAGATCTCTCATT